TCCAAAGGCTGCGCTAACTAGCTCAGCGCCACACTAACAACTAAAACATACTAAAAGTTTATCACTGAAATGCTCAAGTTATCAAAGCTGCTACTATCTGATCTACTAGTCTGTTATGGTCTACTGCTATCTGCTTTATTGTACCAAATAAGATTTTTTTTCATTCAATATAAAAGATTTTCTGATATGATGTGATATATCACTAAAATGAAAAGGATACGAATAGTTAAGATACTCCGTAATTTAAAATTATTACTGAACCAAATAAAAGTTCTCATTCAATATGAAATTTTTTTATGATTTGATGTGATATATCACTAAAAAGAAAATAACATGAATAGTTAATATTCTATTACATTTGAAATTACTATTGTATCAAATAAGATTTTTCATTCAATATGAAAGAAATTCTTATTTGAGGTGATATTTCACTAGAAAGAAAAGGATGTGAATAGTTAAGTTTCTCTATCTTTTTTAAATATTATGATAAGATCTTATAAATTAGCTTATGTTACCTAAAAAGTTTCTACTTTTTATAGCTTCGTTGAATCAATGAAAAAAGTATTTCAAACAATAACCAACAAATTCTTCACAGTTGTCCATTACTATGGCAAAATTCTACAAAATGATATTGGTGTTGTGCTTAAGTCGTCCAGGCTCGTCCGCATGATGTTCACTATAGATGTATCTAATATCCAAATGAAGAACAAAATTGAAAGAAAACTTGGAGCTTCTATTTCATGTTTGAGTTATTGACAACTGATCTCATCAAGTCCAATCACATATGCAATAATTAGGGATGTTCAAACGATTAATATGACCACCATCATAACCGAATTTTCATTAACCAAATTGACCAAACTTTTTTTTTCTAACCATTAACCTAACCGAATAAAGTTCAACCATTTCAGTTGGTTAACCGAATTAATCAAAATTTTTTAATAATTATATTTTTATTAGAATTAATTTGAATATACTAAAAGTATTTTTTATTTGAGTTATAATTTAGTTAGGTACTGATAATTTAATGAGTCTAGTATAATTAAAAATTAATTAGGTCTTAATTCTTAATGAGCTTGAGATTAAAATATGTATTCAATATATAGTATACTTAATAACTAATAATTTCAGTTAATTCGGTTAATTAAATGATTTCGAACCAAATTAATCCGTAATCGACTATTGAAAATAATATTAATCGTTGCCCGACCTAATTAATTCGGTGGCTAACCAAATTAACCAAACTAATTCAGTTTAGTCAGTTAATTAGGTTAAAACCAAAAAATGAACATCGCTAGCAATAATCCAACATGACAACGACGACATTACTATTATGATTGAATTGTAACAATCAACAAATAATGATATGATCGAGATTTATTTAAAAATGACAGACGCATCAGATGTTTTGACCTCATCAATGGTAACAGAAGAACCAAGAACATCTATACAAGATGTAAGTGGTATAGATGATAATCTTGTTGGGCAATTCAATGAAAGCCTTGTTGAGTTTAGTGAGGATGATGAAACAATTGTTCCATTGATAGGAGATGACGAGACACCGTCACTTGATGATTCTAATGAATTTGAGTCTACATTAGAGAGACAAGGTTTGGATATTGAGGCTGATGAATGGTAGGCAGCTGTTTCACAAGGTCATAAATTATAGAGTGCTCTAAATGTTTGGGCCCTTACACCAATTAACCTCAGCCCTAAATGCCTTAAAACAATTTGCCCCGTTATCATCATCCAATTGCAATGCATGACATTAATTACGATACTATGACGAATCTTGAAATCCATGATATATCGGATATATGTTATGCCCTTGGGGTTATTCAGACAATGGATCAACCAAGTTGATGATTGGGTCCTAGTTTGAAACTAAAAAAAGATTTACAGTTTGAAATAAAGGAGTATTGCATCAAAGCCCCATCTCCAATTCTTTGTCACGAAATCTGATCAAAAAACATATTTCGTAAGGTTTACACACCATGACGTTGGGTGTAACTGAAGGATACAAGTTTCATATTTACAATAGAAGATGCAGTAGGAAGTCACAAGGTTCAATAGCCAGCACGCATGTACAATGACCTTGTTGACACAAGACCACAAACATTTAGATTCAGAAGTTATATACTTGTATGTAAAGCTTTTGGTCGAAAAAAATTCAAAGATACATGTTAAAATGTTAGTGGCATCCATCCAGAATACATTTGATTATATTTTATCTTAATACAAGTCGTAGATAGCTAAAAAGAAAGCAATGACATTGTTATATGATGATTGAGATCAGTCATATAATGAGCTATCACCTCTACTGCAAGAAATAAATTTTTTCATCCCTTAGAACCATTGTAAGATCTTATATTCTTCCTGCGACCACACTTCACATAGAAGTTATCATTGAAAAGAAAGTTTTTGCCGACTTGTTTTGGACTTTTAAATTATCTATTGAAGAGTTTTAATTTTACAAACAAATAATTCAAGTCGAAGGGATTTTTCTGTGTAGGATATACATATACATCATGATGATAGTTGTTTTGAACTTAATGGGACCAAATCCAACTTTCGACAAACGACCTTTTCCCTAATCGATTAGTAGGGCATAACACCCTTCACAAAAAAGTGGTGTGAAAGCAAAAAGAGTTTTGCTCCTAAACCCTTCTCACAATCTCAACTTTTGATCAATATGACAATTGACACATGGAAAGCATATTTTGTCATATCGTCTAGATGAAATGAACTCGTTAATTATATCATCATTGTTACTTATACAATAAATTTGACTACAATTTTCACCAAATTTCAAAGCCCGATTTGTCTCATACTTCTTTCTTTCCGCACATTGCTGTCAATTTGTCTGAAATGGTTTCAACAATTAGTCTAGAGGAAGTCCACAGCTTGCCAATATACGAAACTAGTTTTTCAATTAATAATTTCATCTTTACGACATGTAATGAACTGTCCGCTACTTTGTCCTTTTATCCTTTTTTCCTGGTTTATTTGTTCTTATATTGTTATGATCAAGATGGATCGAGAAAGGTACATGATGGAATAATCATTTCTTTAAAAATTTTAAATTATTATATATTTTAAATATATTTTTATATTTTATATTAATAATATATTTTTATGTTTTTAGAATTTTAAAAAATCATCTCTTTTAAAATTTTAAATTCATTCTTCGAATACACTTCAGTTTCCAAATGGATTGGCTGCTGTGGTGGGGTTTCTAATAACGTGCTGATCACTAGGCACAAAGATATTTTGAGAGGTACTGTCAATTTATATGAACAGTAAAATAAGGGTTTAAATATATATTTGGTATTTGATGTAGACTTTTTTTTTCTCTTAAATTGATATAAAATTGTTTTTATTATTAAGCTTTTATTTGAATTGCATATTTTTTTTTCTAAAATTTCATATGAAATTCCTACTTTCCAATCAGCGTAGAATTAATCTCATCGAACTTTTTAAATTTAGGTATCTATTAAAAAAACTCAATAATAAAAATATTCATTCAAAAAAAATAATAATATAGCTCAAAATTAATCTCATCGAATAATCACTGTCACAAATTGAACTAAGAGATAAGTTAAAACTTTGACTTGATTTTCTCTATTTTTAATGGATTTTGAGAGAAAAAAATAGACTATAAAGAAGGAGAAAAATGAAAAAACGAATAGTATTGGGCAGCAATTTGAACGATAACGGTGATTAGAAGGGATTAGCATAGGGTATTGTATGAAAAATAATAATGAAATGACATGTCCCCATTATGTTAAAAAATTAATCACCAGTGATTGGATGAAAATTCAAAAAGTTTAATGATGTAATTGAAAAAAATGTAATTCAAATATTAAAATTGTAATAAAAATATACTTTAAATTTAATTTTTAGTACTTTTTTATCTGTTATTATTGAATAAATACTACTTTGTATTTATCCTAGATTAATAAAAAAAACTTTTTATATGTGTCGAGATAAGAAAATTTTATTGAGATATATAAGTGATGAAACTGAGAGATAAAGGTGAGCAAAATTCGACTCGATTTGAAAAACCAAAATTTTCAACTCGGTTCGACTAGAATTGAGTTCGAATTACAATTTCATAAACTCGAATCAACTCGAAAAAAAATCAAATTCAAATCGAGTTGTAAAATGCAACTCGAATAACTCCAAATTTTTAGTAACTAATGAATTTATTTTCAAGTTTGACTCGAGTCATTGGACTTTGTATGATATATGTATATTACATATGAAAAAAATATGAAGAAATATATTTGTATTGTATATATGGTTATAGAAAGTCACTTAAATTGAAATCAAATAATACTATAATATTATAAATATTTACAATTAAATTTAAACAGAAATTCTAAAAATCAACTCGACTTGAAAAAAATTCAAATCAAGTCCGAGTTGTAAAGTATGACTCGTCAATTCGAATAACTTAAAAAAAAAATTCTTGACTCGATCGAAGCTCACCCCTACTGAGAGATATTGTTCTTAGGGAATCTTGATGTGAATATGATTTTGAAGTTTTATTCGTAAAAAAATTATAAAATTAGTACGACGATATTCTTATGGGTTTGGATTGTAAAAATAAATTAGAGAGTCAGATCATAAAGCCTTTTGCGAGCGTGATCTATTTTTTTTTTAATCTCTTAAATAACATTTTCATCAAAGCTAAAAATAAAGACCAAAACGCCAAAAATTAAATTCAAGATGGAATGGAAGGGTGCAGTGCTGATAACGACCAAGAGAATATTACAGATGACTTCAGAGCTAAAGCCAACTCTCTTAATGATATTATGAACCTATGAGGGATTGATTCAATGATTCAAACCATGTTTAATTTTGCAATTAATGAAGTCCATGAAAATTAATTGATTTTTATAAAGGATGATTAAGAAATAGCAAGCAGCAACAAGATGTACATATGCAAAGCTCAAGTAGTATGATCACGTACACAGCTCAAGTTTATTTTACTCAAATTAACGGTGGTGCCTTAGTCGAAGCAGTTCAGTATCATTTAAATACTTGGCTCTGATCTTGTTTAGTTTCGGAACACTCTCTTTCATATCAAGCCTCTCATCCGGTAACTCTGCTGAACATTCTAAGCCAATTTGCAGAACGGACAAGGCACAATTGTTGGCTGCTGCATGCTCTCTCCCAATTGTGCTAAGCAAATTATTGTCTACAACTTGATATAGCGTTGATATTGACTCTTTCACCCAGTTCTTCAGGCTTCTTTCTCCGGCAAACATTTCAGCTGTCGGTTTTTTTCTTGTGACAGTTTCCATTACAAGAATTCCGAAACTATACACGTCTCCTTTCGTCGAAACTATTCCTTCTGTTCCGTATTCTGTGTACAAATTCACATATCAATGAAAAAGAATGCTATAGAATTTCTAAAATGTTATGTATATGCATGTTAAAGTGGGATTCAATAGGACTGCAATTCAAGAAGTATCACCTGGTGCCATACACCCAATTGTTGCTATAGTCAAGGTTTGTATCATTGAATCGTTTGCATAAGAGTTTTGCAATGCCAAAATCACTCAATGTGCAACCTTATCTTCATCTAATAGAACATTTCTGGGTTTTATATCACAATGAAGCACCGGCGTTACGTTACCGTGATGGAGATATTCTAGTGCGGATACTACATCTATCAGTATGTTCAATCTCTGTAAGATATTCAGAAAATGGATGCTAGAATACAACCATTCATCAAGGCTTCCGTTAGGCATGAACTCGAGCAATAAAGCTTTGAAATTGAGATCATCTGAGCAACTACTGATGATTTTGATTAAAATCCGGTTACGAATGTTGCGGAGAACTTCGCATTCAACTTTAAAGCTCTTAAAAGCTCCTTCTAACTTCAAGACTCCCTTTGTACACAGAACCATAACTCCCATTACCGAGCAAATTGTTCTCACTGAATCCATCAGTAGCTCGATGAAGTTCATGGTATGAGATCCGTCTCCATGTTCCTAAAGGTAACAAGTCTTCCCGAGTTGTTAATTTGTACCTCCTTTGCCTACTTCGCAAGATAATGATAATGAGAGCCATCACCAAAATTGTTGAGGCAATAGACATTGCTACATATATTATGAGCTTAGCCTTTGCCTTGGAACTCTTGAGAGGTTTAGTTTTGCAGCTTGGAAGATGAAGTTGAGGTGCACCACACAGTGCTTTATTTCCCTTAAATGATTCAATTGAGTAGCGGCCAAATGATTCTCCTTCAGGAACTTCTCCTTCAAGCCTATTGAAAGAGACATCGAAGGATTTCGGAATCTCTCCGGATAGATTATTTCTTGACAAGTCCAAGAACTTCAAACTCAACATGTCACCAAATGACGTAGGAATAGAACCAGCGAGTCTATTATTGGACAAGGAAAACTGAGTGAGGTCTTTGAGATCTGCAACTCCGATCGGGATATCACCCGAGAAACGATTGTTCGACAAGTCCATACTTGTCAAAACCTTCCACTTTCCAATGTCAATAGGAAGAGGACCACTTAGAGAATTTGAAGACAAGTTCAAGATGAGGAGATCGGTAAGCCTTGTCAAGGTTGAAGATATTGAGGAAGAAAACATATTGGAGCCTACCAATAGGTTTCTTAGAGAACTAAGGTTACCTAAGCAAGAAGGTATCGGTCCAGACAATTTGTTACTCGTCAAGTTTAAGTAAGCCAAATTGCTTAACTCAGATGGGATTGATCCTACAAACATATTTTCCATAAGATAATCACTTTGCAGCTCTTTTAATGCTCCAAATGTAGCAGGAATCATTCCCGTCAATTCATTTCCGGCTAGCTCGATGTTTATCAAGTTACTTAAGTTGCCGATTTCACTCGGGATGCCACCTCTGATGTTGCAGCCATATGCAGAGAACTCCCAAAGAGAACCTGAGAGATTCCCAACCAAGCCTGGAAGTTTACTGCCGATCACCGTGTTGCCACCAATATCCAACGCTTCCAAGCCTCTACAGTTTGTCAAAGAAGAGAGAAAACTCATTCTTGAGGAAGTTAAATTATTTAACGGCCAGATTGAGAAGCTTTAAATTTCTAAGATTTCCCAGATTGTCAGGAATGGAGCCTGACAGGTATATGGCATGTCAAGAAGAGTAAGCTGAGAGGCAATGGAAATAGACACTGGGAAAGAACCAACGAGCTGATTATCCGCAAGACATAATTCTTCCAGGTTTGGAAGCCAAAAGCCCATGTTTGATGGAAGATGGCCAGAAAGCTGATTTGCATCCAAACCAATCTGATACAAAGTTGAAATATTATAAATATTGCAGGAGGAATAGAACCAGCAATGTTGTTAACTCCCATAACCAAGTATCCTACATTCTTCAGGTTGCCAATCTCATCTGGTATTGAACCTGTCATAAATTTTTATCACACAGGTATATCAGAAAAAAATATGGAGAATTCTTTTGTGTCACCTGAAGCAGTTTTTCACCTGTGAAATTGTTATGACCACAATAAAATCCTTCAAGATGAGTTAGATTTACAATTTGCTATGGAATTTCACCTGTTACAGTAAAACTAAATTCAAATTTCTTCCACTAATGAAAATTATAGCACCATTATTGCTAGTGATAATTATACAATACCTTCAAAGTGGTTTTGGCCACCATTCAGTTTCGCAGCATACTCAAATTACCTCCAGTTGGTTAATCGAAAGAGACAGAAATTGCAACTCTTTGCAGTTGTATAAACCAGTTGGAATTCTACCGGAAAGCGAGTTATAACTCAAGCCCAATTCCTTCAAATTAGGAAGATGATCAAACAAATCATTTGAAGTATGACCAGTGAGATTATTAAGAGTGAAATCGATAACCTCTAACGAACCTCTAACGAAAGCAAATCCCGTGGGACGGAGGGTATGGAACCAGATAACATATTATTTCTTGGAGCGATCTCTTACAACGAAGATATATTGAAGATGGTGGATGGTACTGAGCCTGAAATATGGTTCTCATACAAGCTCAAGCATTATTTTGAAAATCGGACCGGACCGGCCAGTTCAACCGGGAACTGCTGTCTAGTCCGGTTTAATTTACACCGGTTGAACCGTTACTAGTGAACCGACCGGAACCGTTGAACCGTTCGAACCAGACCGGATGGAAACCGAAAAAAATCGCCAATTTTGTTTTAAAAAAAATAAATTAAACGACGTCGTTTGTTAAATGAGCTAAGTCGAACTCGAGTATTGTTGAGCTCGACTAGAACTTGAAAACTTTAAAAGTAAGCTCAACTCGACTCAAACTCACGAGCTAAAAATTATCATGTTCAACTCGAACTCGAAATATAATATTGAAACTTGAACTCGAAAAGGTTTGAACTAAAATAAATTTAGAAGCTCGATTGAAGCCTAAAATTCGAGTTTGATTAAAGTGAAAAAATAATTCACTCAATGCTCACCAAAAGACTCCATGATTTTAAATGCCAAATTACCTCTATTATTTATAGAAGTTAGTTGAGATGCTCTTCTATGTTTCTTAGCCATGTGAGATTGTTTTGTTCTCATATTTTTACTCTTTAGACTTTTGAGATGTTCTTCTATGTTTCTTAGCCATGTAAGATTATTTAAAAAAAAAAAAATTAAACCAAACAATATCATTTTGTTATGATTTTTTAGCCCCAAATTTATTTTTTAATTATAGTTATATAATTATATTTATTATTTAATATGTTTTACCTTAAATATTATGTTGTAGTTAATTTGAATAATTTTGTTTCACTTGATTTTATGGTTTTTAACTTATATATGTTATGATTTACTTTGAATATGACTTGTGATATAAAAAATTATTTTTTATTAAATATTTTTGATATTTTTATTTAATTTTTTAAATAATTATGACGTCGTCTGGTTCTTCCGACCGGTCAGACCGGTTCGACCGGTTGAACCAGTGAACCGGTAGCATGGCCGGTTCGCTAACCGGTCCGGTTCTGAAAACCATGAGCTCAAGATCTCAAGCTTTGGCAAATAGCCTAAAGACAATGGGATTTCTCCACTGAAACTGTTGTTACCAAAGTTTATATGTTTCAGTCGTCGCAATTTGGATAATTGGACTGGTAAACCGCCATGAAAACTATTGTTTGTCAAGCGGAGAAGAGAAATGAATGATAAGTTCTCCAATTAGGGTGGAAGGGTACCGACGAGGCCAGCCTATTAGGTCGAGAGCCGTGACTCGTTGGAGTTTGGATTCGCAACTGACTCCTCAAAACTAGATCAACCTCCTCACATCGCTTTAAAACTTTTGCCAAATTAACTAGGCATCTCTCACAGTCATCTTCAGAAACAGAAAAACCATCCATGAATATCTCAAGGAAATTCTCAACCATATCAGACAAGATAGCTTGCATGCAACGCTGAAAAGTTGTCAGGGCATTACAGAGTCCAAAAGGCATCATTCTAAAGGAAAAAGTGCCATAGAGACATGTGAATGTGGTCTTCTCTTGGTCCTATGGTGTGATGACAATTTGATTGTACTCAGAATACACATCTAGAAAGCAATAGAATGTTTTGCCCACCAATCGATCCAACATTTGATCGATGAAAGGTAGAGGAAAATGATATTTCTTTGTGGTTTTGTTGGGCTTAAGATAGTTCATGCATATCCTCTATCCCGTGGCAGTGCGTGTGGGCAATATCTCATTCTCCTCATTAGTCACCACAATTGTGCCACCCTTCTTGGGGACACATTGGACAAGACTTACCCATGAGCTGTTAGATATGAGGTAAATCACTCCAGCATCAAGCTATTTAAATATTTATTTCATCACCACTTTCTTCACGACTGGGTTGAGTCTTTGTTGTTGCTCTATATAGTTGCCATGGCATTCTTCCAACAGAATCTTATGCATGCAAATAATGGGACTAATCCCCTTCAAATCAGCCATCTTCCATCCAAGTGCTTTCTTATGCTGCGAAAAAACACTTAACAAACTTTGCTCATGGTTAGGAGTAAGACTAGAGGAAATAATCACATGTAAAGTATTATTACTACCCAAATAAGCATATTTAAGATGCCTTGTTAAAAGCTTTAGCTATAGGGTAGGTGCATGCTGTAATGATGGCTTAGGAGGAACAAATTCATCCAAATAAAGGGGTTCAAAGTGCATACTTGATCTAGCTAGTAGTAAGCTAGATTGCTCCTCTCCATATGGTATTTCGTCATGCTCCTGTATGTTTTCCTGAACAATAAGATGCTAATAATCTGATAGCTGGATGAAACTGCTTAGGCAAAATTGTTTGACTTCCTATTCAATTAATGAATTCACTTCAAAAATGCCTTAGCGTTCTTCTGAGTCATCATCATACTTGAGAGTACGGAAAATATTGGCAGTCACACATTGGTCGTCCACTCTCATTGTGAGTTCACCTTTTTTGCAATCAATTAAAATACAACCAATGACTAAGAAAGGCCTACCCAAGATAATGGTGTCTTTGAATAAACTTTATAATCAAGAATAAGGAAGTAGACTGGGAACACAAATTTGTCAACCCTCACTATGACATCCTCAACTCTCCCTTTAGGAAGAACATGGGATCAGTCAACAAATTTTATAATCATAGAGGTAGGTCTGGCATTCCCCATACCAAGCTTCAAGAATATATATGTTGGCATCAAGTTCACTCTTGAACCAAGGTCGCATAGTGCCTTTCCAACAAAATTAGCTCCTATAGAACATGAAATTATGAAACTGCCCGTATCTTTTTGCTTTGGCATAAGCTTGCTCAATGTGGAACAATATTATTTTGTCGTGGTAATTGTCTCAAACTTCCCAACTTTCTTTTTCTTGGTACAAATCTCCTTAAGAAACTTGGCATAAGTAGGCATTTGCTCGATGGCTTCCAAAAGAGGTACATTATTATAAAGCTGATTAAGAATGTCAACAAACTTCTTAAATTGAATTTCATCATTGTGCCTTTTCAATCTTTACGGGAAGGGTGGAGGGGGGTCTATTGCAGGAGTAGTAGTCACTTTTGCCTTGGCATAGGTATTTGGTACCTCAGCAGGTTCACTAGTAGAACCCCCATCCTTGTCCTTATCGACTATGATTTCATCTTGTAATTCAATTTCAACTTGCTTAGAGGTGGGGGTAGAATCATCCTACTGTTTTCCCCCAAACTTGACTTGTTGATTAATATAAGTATCACTCTTAAGAGTCAATACATTGCATTGTTCTTTTACATGAGACTTAGTGACTTCAGTGTCACTTGGAAAACATCCTTGCTAATGCTCTTGCAATGCCGTGGAAATCTGACCAACTTGACCTTCCAAAGCTCTAAGAGACAAGATATGGCTTTGAAGTAAGGCACATTGACTATGCAGTAAAGCTCCTTGATTTTTTATTGATGTAATATTATCTTACATCATTGTCTTAGTGGTAGCTATGAAGTCTTGAATTGTGGCCTCCAAATAACTTATATTAGATGAAGATGAGGCTCTATTGTTAGTATTATGCCATGGTATAGGATTTTGGTAGCCTTGAGGTTCAACAAAATTTTACTAGCGAGTAGGTTGACTAACATTAGGGACTCATTGATTTCCCCATGAGAAGTTAGGGTGTTGACTCCACCCTAGATTGTAGGTATTGGAGTAGGGGTTGTTATTGCCTCGATTGAAATTGCAGACATAATTGATGGACTTATGATTATTTGGGCACTCACTCTCGTGCTGATTTCCATGGCATAACAATCATTCCGAACTAGTTGCCTTTACTTCCTTCACCTCATTCGAGCATTGTAGATTCTTCAACATATTAGTGATAGCTGAGAGTTGAGCGCATACGCAATCCTTGGCATTTAACTCAAATGCCCCAGGTGATTTCCTCCTAATTCCAAGCCTTGAGGAAGGAAATTGATAATCGTTGTTGGCAATCCTATAAAAAATAACAAATGCCTCAGTAGGTATTTTCAAGAGATGTCCTATTTATCGAGGCATCAAGCATCATCCTCGTGGGCATTGACTCTATTATAAAACATCACTACTTGGGTCCAGTCTTGAAAACCATGATTAGAATTCTTGCGAAGAAAAATATTGTAACGATCCTAGCATTCATACATGGACTCGTCATCAGCCTGATGAAAGGATGCTATGTCATTCCTTAGTTGAGTGTTCATGTTTGGATGGTTATAGTGGAACAAAAAGCTTTTACAAATATCACCCCATGATTTCATCGAGCCAGATAGAACACCACTCAACCAAGCCCTAGCTCGATCACACAAAGAGTATATAAATAACTTTAATTTCAACACATCCGCGTGTACTCCTTATTAGTGGAAATAATCACATACCTCCAAAAATTGTGAATATGTTGCATGACATCTTCATTTGGCATGCCCCCAAATTGACCTATAGAATTCAATATATTGAACATGACTGGTTTGAGATCAAAATGTGTTGCCTGAATTTTGAGTGCCACAATCACAGGGTTTAGATCATCTAAAATAGGATTGAAGTGATCAAGAATAGCACGAGGCCTAGTAACAAGCCCAACATTGGGAATTACCTTGGCATTATGATCTTCCTTTTGATCAATGCCTTGATTTCCAATTTGATACATAATTCCTTGAACACGTTGATCACGTCTTCTTTGTCTAAATAGTCTTTCAATCTCAGGTTCAATTGGTATCAATGGCTCTTCCGAATGACTTCTAGTTATACACCAAATAAGCTTGAAAAAGAGAAAGTAAAAATATCAAGTAAACTATACTAAAAAAATAAAAAAGCAAAATAAAATGTTATGAAAAACTAATTAACTTCACGTTGTTAATCCCATGCAATGGCGCCAAAAACTTGTTGCGTGTTGTGAGTAGAATAAAATTATATGCAATTGATGTGCAAGTATACACAATCGCAAAAGTAATATAACGATGAATGAGTATCGTCCTCAGGGATTGACGGAGTTTATGAGTTTGGACACATCAATACACTAAATTATCTAAGTAGAGTAATGATATTTACACTGATGATGCCTAGGTAAAGGAATCATGATTGTAGGGTAGAATGATGGTGAAGAAATATGAATGAGTGAACAAATGTGATGTCGTGGCAATGGAGATGTCTATAGTCTAAATGGGTGAAAATGTCAAGGCAATGCAGAATAATAAAAACACAAAATAAATGAAATAACTTGATAATCCTCACACAAGAAGCTTCTATTGGAATGAATGGTGGGGAGTCACTTAGGAAGTTTTAAACTTATCTATTAAGTTGATCTAGTCTTCTAGTGCCTTACTTGTTCAACAGAGTTTGCTAAAGATGTTCTATGCTATCTCTAGTATGAGAACCTAACAGAA